CTCGGGTTCTTTTGCTCTGCAAAAGATTCTAGCTCTTGAAGCCTTTTGCAGCTGTTGCAAGGAGGGGTCCGGAGGCATCACTGGGTTTCCTTCGTGCCAGCACAGCCTCACCCCTCCTGCCCTCAGCCTGCAAAATGCACCCCGGCCTGCTGGCTCCCAAGTTGCATTTGCAGTTTTGGCAGCACGGGTGCCGCGGGAAGAGCTGCAGAGGCTGTGAGGGCGGACGGAGGGAGGGCCCTCCCTGGCCGGAGGGATTTCCAACTCTGACCATGCAGCATCTTTCTGAGATCAGAGCTGGGATGCCCAGCTGCCTTGCGGACATCAAGGCAGCACCTGGAAGCCACACAATTGTGCCCTAAGCCTGTCTGCGAACAGAGCATAGGCAATGGTCCTGCTTAGTGTTGTTGATTGTGCAGAGAAAGCAAAACAGCCTGTCTTTCCTGTGGGCTCTAAGGAGATGCAGGGACAAAAGCATGAGCGGGGCTTTAGGCTATGCCTCCAGATAGCATGCATGCCCTATTTAACTGCAAATCAACTCGATATTAATGTTAATTGTTTCAGCAACTATCAGTATCTCCTGTTGCTTAGGAAATGCAGATATGACAACATAGATTTAAACCTCTTCCTCACTTGGTCATTTGCATCACTTTGTCATTTTAGCATGCAACAGTAGTGCACCTTCTGTAATTGCCATTATTACGGCAAAGTACGCTTTACTGAAGGTCGGCGACCTCTCGGATGGGAGGGAAATGTGCCTGGAATACATCGCAGGCTCAGCTGGTACGACTGACTTTTACGGGTCAAAATGAAATCGCTCTTACTGTATGATCAAGTATGCTGCTACTTCACCCATTTAAGTGGCTTTAAAATACATTCACAAACCGACTGAAGTGAACGATGCATTTTTTTCTTCTGCATTGCGAATTGCGGTATCAAAGCCACAAAAACAGCTCTGGAAATGTGTGGTTCTCACCTGCTTGTCTACGGATCAGCAGCGATCTTTCTGGGCGAGCTGATTGCTTCCCTTCAGCTGACTTGCCTGACAAAAATGGAGGCCAGCCCCGTATACTACTGCGAGCTTCAGTATTACAAAGACAGAACATCCCGTCTGAGAACTCGCAGTACACCTCGCGGGAAGAGAAAGGCTTGCTCCTACAATAGCGGAAGTTACCAAAAATGGCTGTAGCTTAGCACCTGCCTAATGTAGCTGTATCAAGATGGGGAACACCTTTTCCCCCATCACCGTGTTTCATGTTATCATAGGACACTCACGTAATGGGGCACATGGTATCCTGCAAACCATGAGAGCGCTCTGACTAAAGGAGAGCCCTCAAGCTTAGGGTTTTCTTACTATTTCATCAGGTGAGCAGTGTGTTGCATTATACAACCAACTGGTCGTGTGGGCAACTGCCTGGCTGCACAGGTCATGTTGAGCGGAAGAGAAATTGCAAGACGTAGAAGAAATTATCACCACAAATGTTTTATTGGCAACGACTGAGGTAGCAGATTATGCAAGGCAACGTGATGGACCCACTTGGCCCCTCTACATTTCCTGTATAAAAGGCATGTTCGAGGAAAAATACATATTCTGTGAGTAAATACCTGCAAAACCATGTTTTATACTTTGCATTAAAGAAGGACTACCTGCAAAATAATTACCTGGCTAAAAGTAATCTAATAATGGCATACAAAACTGTGATAACCAATGGAAAAATGAAATGTCACAGTATTTTTTTTTCTTTTTTAGGATTCCTGGCTGTATTTTTGGGATCTTCCCAACTCTTGTAGAATATCCCTAATCCCAGGCATTAAAAGATTCATCATCCAAATGAACTGAAACTGTATTTGGGAATCTGTGTGTTCAGATATTTCTGTATTGCTGTGATTTGCTGGCTAATTTCTTCCTGCTTACACATGGAAATTTGTGTAACAGATAGAGATGCTACTTGATTAGAATTATTACCACAAATTAAAATAGGCATCCTATTTGTGCACAGGAAAAGCATACAGGTAGAGATTTTCCTATGGCCTCTAGACAAGATCCAGAGGCCATAGGATTGTTCAGGAAAGCTCCCCACAGGTTTTAGACCAGAGGTGGGGCCCTCTTTTACAGGAAAGTCTCAGGGGCCCCATTCCAGTGGTGGGAGGGGCTGAAAGCAAAGGGGGCAGGCCCAAAGGCAAAGTGGGTGGAGCTTAAGTATTGTTTAAAGCCCAGTGTTCTTAACTCCACCAAGCCTTTCAACATTTTTGCATGGGTGAAATGGCTGCACAACAACCAGGAACAAATAAATAATTGGTGGTTGGAGAAGGTGGAGCTGGGGAAGGTGGTGTGAGCAGCTGCTGAGGCCTGGAGGGTTGGACTGAGTCTCTACAACCAAATTTGGACCATATGCCTGAGGGCCCACTGTACTTAGAACTCCAATGCCAGAGCTATTCTTCTGGCTCCACCTAGCCACTGCTGAAGAGTCCGCCATGGCTCCCACTAATGGAGGTGGAACTCCAACCCTGTACAAGACAGTGGACGGGCCAGGGGGCAGGGATGGAGGGCTGATGATCCAATCTCTCCCAGCCTCCAAGCATGATACTAACACAGAGGAAAGTCAAGTTTCTTGGGGAGTACACAGAAACAGAGCCTCACAGATTGGAGCCATCTGTTATCTAGGTACCTTGCCCACAGGATTATTTTTAAAGAATCTAATTGCTAACTTTTTTTTCTATTACTATAAAAAACAATTGCATGTAAATATATCACCTTTGGAGTTTGTGAAGTCAGCAAAGCAAATCTTACATTTTTCTTGTTTTCCAGGTTATATTAGGTGAATTTTCCGAAGACAGTGGAATTGGAAAATTGCTGCAAGTTTGCATTTTAGGTATCCAGAAGCCAGTTATGTTGCATTTCGGATACCAACAACCCCTGGTCAGAAGTCAGGGTTAATCTTCTGAGTTATACCATGAGGAGCAATTCCTTTCCTCCTAGCCTAATCCAAGATGAGTAGCATACCTTCAAACTCTGCTCAGGGTTATCAGCTTGAACATAAATGCTGCTAACCTCTTAGGGAAGAAAATAATGAACCAAGATTTATCTTTATGAATATATAATGGATAGACTGACTCTGTTCTAAAAAGCACAGTAATTTACTGCAAGAATTCTCATTGAAATAGTCCATAAATTTTATAACTAAGAGAGAAAGCCACAAGGTAGGGTGTAAATCCATGGAGAACAGATTCCTGTAGGTAATAGTTCACCTCAGCACAATTCTGGTTCTGGCCTGAGCACCTCAATATCCTAAGAGAAAATACAGAACTCTTGGTGAATTAATAGTCTCCAGACTTTGCACAGCTGATGGGCTGCAGGGCTAGCAACTAAAATATGGTCTTCATAATGTGTTGTAAAAGGGGACCCCAATAAATATTCAAAAGCACATAAATGCTGTGAACATTCAATTAAAATTTCACATAAGAAACCTGCAAACTAGAGAATTCTCTAGTGCTACAGCTTTCTGAAACAGTGAGTTGGGATTTACACTATTTACACTTCCATTCACAGAGTAAGAGTGATTTCCATCAATTCCTCACATCATTTGCATGTATCTCACACATTCCTAAGAATCTCTTAAAACTCAGGAATAGATTTTCAGGGCACAGGTAGATGCATAGGGAGGATGCCAAAAAAAAAAAAAGTTTCACAAAGAAAACACGCACAAAAAGTTAATTATGATCCAAGCAAATATAAGAACATGTGGAGACCTTCTTTTTATCCCTACAACCTAGCATTCTTCCTAAGCAGGGAACCTGAGCCTTATCTGGTGTCTGCTGTTCCAGCCCTATCAGTAAGTGAAGGCGTGATTCTGGCTGAGTGCTTATGGGTCTCCTTTTCCCCAAAATCCTCTGATTCGAGTCACAAGAAACTGATAGATCTCTCTTGTGCTGTGGGATCTACCTCTTATCCTTCACCTACCAGGTATCTCAGAGGGAGAAAATGGAAAAGAACTGTTTTGGTGGCAGCCCCTATCTCCTTGCTTTAGGCTTCCAGGTCAGGGGGTAAATGGAGGGGTAGCAGCCCTTCATGACTGCAGAGGCAAGACATTGTAAAGGAAACCACACCAAAGAATAGCAAACTATCTCAGGCACTGGCTTTTGTGCTGGTCTGTCCCAAAAGGATGGGCCAATGAGAAAACCTCAGTGGGGGACCACCATGGGATTTCCTTCAAAAACCACACTTTTTGGTATGTCCGTGTGTCTTAGCAGGGAAGGAAAAGCTAACAGACATAAGAACTGAAATTTAGGAGCTTTATAAACACCATCTTCCTAACAAATTAGACTGATCTGTAGGTGGGAGACAAGGAACTCCTACCTTTGGTAAAGTCAGAAGATTGATCCCCAGCTGTAAAGACTGTCCTTCTTGGCTACTCTTGGCCATATGGTTAGGAGAATGCCCAGCAACTGGATACTTGCTGGAAATGCCGTATCATTACTATCCTACTAGGCCTGTACCATGGCCAAACAACTGCTGGAGGAACAACTAAGCTTGAGCACAGACTGCCAGTGACGGGTTCCCCTGCCTTTAGAGAAACCCTGCAGCAAGTTTTCACTTGGAACCAGCTTAATGCACTTCATGTAGAGAAGCAGACGCACTTGGTAACTTGGTTCAGTAGGCATGGACTGTAAGAGGATTAATGAGAAAACCAAATGTAGGGCCATTTCATGAATTATACTCGGTTACACTTTCTCCATCTAACTAAAGACTCTCACACGTAATATGTGAACTGAGAGACCACCACAGAATCATGTTTACGTGCACAGAGTACATGTGAGAATTAGAAAGAAAGAAGCAGCAGCTGACTATAATGTACAAAGTGGCCTCCTTAAAATACAAATATGCAAACATTTTAGAATACTTTCAAGTAATCCTAGGCCAATGCTATTTCTTTTGATCAAATTCTCCAAGGTAGCCAATGCTTCCAACATCTGCTCTTCTTAAGAACGAAACACAAAGAAAGTAGAAGACAAAAGGCTTTTTATAAGGACAAACATCAGAGGCATCCCACCCCCCCCATGTATTTTAACAAATACTTTAATTTTTTAATATTTTATACAATCCAAAGGTGCACAGAATGGCATTCAAGCATTCAACATAGGCATATGTCCATATCAAAACAGCGAAGTGATGTACTTTGGATAATAGTACATTTTAAAATCCCATAAAATAAATAAATTAGTTCACATTGTCTTCAGTGCTCACATGCACCCTCAAATTTCTACTGTGTTCTTATAGCCTGCTTTAAAAGTTCCAAGTCTTTCCGCCGGCCAGTGTTCACTCTGACACAACCATACTCTTCCAGCTGCAAAGGAATATACTTTTCAATTTGACCTAAGCCCTGCCCTGCAGGACTGGTAAATAGTTTTATCCAAGATGGTTTAAAGTTTCCTCTAAAGCCCAGAAAACTAATCTGCCCTGAAACATAAAACAGGAGAGAAAACAAAAAATGTTGCAGTTCAGAACATGAAAGCCATTAACAACAAATAAATGAATTGTTTAATAAAACACTTTCCATTCTATAACAAACTGTAAAATGCTACTGTCAACCTGATTCACCTTGAAAAATGTCCCGAACTAGCTATATATGGATACAGGACAGAAGTTTAAACAGCATCTTTAGAATTCATTGTCCTAGAAAGTAAGGGCAACTTTATATACAAAAGAGAACAAACCTGTGTTCTGAAGACTTGCTGGTTTTGCTGCTCCCAGGGTCATTAAGGTTTGTGAAATGTTAAGACTTTTTATCTTTCCAGCGGTGCTTAATATAACTATAGACCTGAGAAAAAAGTCATAAAGAGATACAGTTGGAAGGCAGAGAAGCACACTGAACTATTACTGCTCATACAGAATGTATTTTACAGAGTAGTCTGGGTTCTGACAATAGCAAGTGGGGCAGAAGAATTTACCCACCCCTCAATTACCTAATAAGCATAAACAAAATATGTATGCAAACAGCTTACATAAATTTCAAAATGTGTATATTCCTAAAAGCAGCTTCTGGTAATCTTTATAACACAACAGAAACCCTCCATAATCAACTGACAGGAATTTATATTGAGTTTTGCTGCCCAACTACTTAGCAAAACACTTTAAGCATGCTTACCTCCTGAAAAATATTTTCTGCTCTAGTTATGGTCTGATGCACCTCAAAATTTTGCTAAGGCATTTCTAAAAGCCAGCAATTTCCTATTTCTAAGGAGCTTTCATAAGCCATAAACTGCCTGCTCATGTCTTTTAAGGGAAATATTAAACTATGTTAAAAATCATTACTGTTTTATATTTTTACTCCAATCTATATCCTTTCCATGTTAAGACAACCACATTCACCTCTGAGATTAGGGTTGGACAATTTATGTCCTACCAGAATTTTTGGCCTACA